ATATTTAGTCATTTTCAATAATGACAACAAAGAAATTCTTATTTTTTAAAACAAAGGCATAATCCTCATAACTTAAGTTTCATTTTAGAAGATTTATGGTGTTCATTTTAAAATAATGATTGCTTTGGCTTGGCGATCATAGTTCAGTGGTTAGGGCTCTGGCCACATACCCCCAGGGCTGGCGGGTTCGAACCTAGCCCAGGCCTGCTAAAGGATGACAACTACAACAAAAAATAAATAAATAAATAAAATAATGATTGTTTAATTTACCACATTATTTTTACCAGTCATCAGATAACTAAACAGTAGTTATTTATTACAACCTCAAGCAACCAGAGATGAAGACCCAGGAAGGTTATCTCCAGTTCAACAGTTTAACTGCCATAGCAAATTGAGAGGGTTTTTTTGCCAGCATGTATTAGGACTATGTTAACAGCTGCCGAAGTTAGAAATCAAATGGCACTTGACATAACACATATCTATACTCTAGATGTTTACTTCAGGAACACACAAACTATTTTGATCAAGTATGTATGCATGCACGTATGTGTACATCTACCTAGATTTTATTAATTATGATAAGGTTTGTTTAAAAAAAAAATCCATCAGGCCGGGCACAGTGGTTCACGCCTATAATTCCAGCACTCTAGGAGTCTGAGGTAGATAGACTGCTTGAGTTCAAGTCAAGGAGTTCAAGACCAGCATGAGCAAAAGCAAGACCCCATCTCTAAAAGATAGCCAGGCATTGTGGTGAGCAACTGTAGTCCCAGCTACTTGGGAGACTGAGGTAAGACAATCACTTAAGCCGAAGAGTTGAGGTTGCTGTGAACTAAGGTTGCCACAGAACTCTACTAAGGGTGACAAAGTGAGACTATCTCCCCCCACCCAAAAAAAAACACCTGTCAAATTTAGTCAGGTCATCACAGGAATCAAATTCAGTACTAGATCATACAGCTAACCAGCTTTCATAATGAAGAAAAGAACAAACCTTCCTGCTTTCAGTTCACAAATGATTTTTCATATAATAATCAAAGAAAACACAGAACATATCTTCTACAGCCAAAATATAAGATAATGTGACTCAAAACTGAACTATAACTTACCTGCCTGGCCCCGGATTTTTTTTTTTTTTTTTTGGAGACAGAGTCTCACTTTGTCGTCCTCGGTAGAGTGCCACTGTGTCAGAGCTCACAGCAACTTTAAACTCTTGGGCTCAACAGATTCTCTTGCCTTAGCCTCCCAAGTAAGTGGGACTATAGGTGCCGACCAGAACCCCTGGCTATTTTTAAGAGACGGAGGTCTTGAACTTGCTCGGGCTGGTCTAGAACCTGTGAGCTCAGCCTACTCACCCACCTCAGCCTCTCAAAGTGCTAGTATTACAGGTATGAGCCACCATACCCAGCCTGGCCCTGGATTCTTAAGAGGAAAATCCTTAAAACCAGAATACATTTTAAAATGGCCTACTCCTTTGCTCAGAAAGTACCTTTTATATAAAAATAACATGTCATCAGTATACATGCTATTCCATGTATTTGAGCTTAACAGTTTTTTTATTTTAAAACTCAAATACAATTTGTTGTTTTTGTTTTTGGAAAACTTTATTCAAATTAATATGAAGGTACAATTTTTTTTTTTTTTGAGACAGAGCCTCAAGCTATCTCCCTGGGTAGAGTGCCATGGCATCACAGCTCACAGCAACCTCCACTCCTGGGCTCAAGCGAGTCTCTTGCCTCAGCCTCCCAAGTAGCTGGGACTACAGGCGCCCGCCACAACGCCTGGCCATTTTCTGGTTGCAGCCATCATTGTTGTTTGGCGGGTCCGGGCTGGGGATTCGAACCCGCCACCTTAGGTGTATGTGGCTAGCACCTTAGCCACTTGAGCCACAGGCGCTGAGCCGAGGGTACAATTTTTAGGTTACATTGTTCTCACTTCCAGGGTAAAGTTCCCTTTGGAGAAGAGCCCCTCCCCCTAGGGGCATGTTATACACCCTCACAACATGCACATTAGGTGAGATCCTGCCTCATGCCCTCCTTCTGCCATATGTCCTTCCTCCTCCCCCCTCCCACTTCCCTCTATCCTTGAACTGGACTATATTAGTGTTTTATTGTTCTTATGAACATGTAATTGAACATGTAATTATTCATATATTGATTTCATATTAGTATGGAGCACATTGGATATTTATTTTTCCATTCTTGTAATACTTTACTAAGAAGAAATGTTCAAATATAATTTTTTAAACTTTTTTCTTCCTATCCACATTGGGCCTTATCTATTCCTCACTTTCCACAACACCTAAAAATAATCTTAAGATGTTAAACATATACACCTCAAGCATATAAAATCTATTTTACTGGTTTTGTAGCTACAATAATTGTACTATTAAAGACGGACTCTCAAGAACTAAAACTTAGAATAAGCATTTAAATGGTCTAATTCACAAGGGGTGGGGAGAAATAATGATCTTCCCCTACCAAACTGGCTGCAACAAAATGCCAAGTTTCTTTTTTTTTTTTCTTTCCTTTTTGAGACAGAGTTTCACTATGTTGCCCTCAGTAGAGTGCTGTGGCATTACAGCTCACAGCAACCTCAAACTCTTGGGCTTAAGCCATTCTCTTGCCTTGGCCTCCAGAATAGCTAGGACAACAGGAACTGGCCACAGTGCCTGGCTATTTTTTTGGTTGCAGTTGTCTTTATTTAGCAGGCCCAGGCCAGGTTTGAACCTGTCAGCCTTGGGGTATGTGCCCAGTGCCCTACTCACTGAACTACGGGCCCCAAGCAAATGCCAAGTTTCCTATGCTGAACTAGTGTAAACAAGGAAGAAAAAGAACAAGGGTGGGAAACCATCAGGCAAAACAACTATCCTCAAGAAATAACTATACTTCTATATTTCAGAATAATAGCTCTTAGCAGTGTGTTTAATAATCCATATTACTCTCTGACCAAACACCATAGACTGGTAATCAGAAAACTATAGTAGACCATATCATTTGCCTGAGATTAACCTGACATAAAAAATACAAGTGGAGGGAGGCACCTATGGCTCAGCGGGTAGAGCGCTGGCCCCATATACCAAGGGTGGCGGGCTCAAACCCAACCCTGGCCAAACTGCAACAAAAAAATAGCTGGGCATTGTGGCGGGCACCTGTAGTCCCAGCTACTCGGGAGGCTGAGGCAACAGAATTGCCTAAGCCCAGGAGTTGGAGGTTGCTGTGAGCTGTGTGACGCCACGGCACTCTACCAAGTGCAATAAAGTGAGAATCTGTCTTTACAAAAAAAAATAAAATAAAATACAAGTGAAGGCCTAGCAAGGTGGCTCACACTTGTAGTCCCAACTACTTGGGAGGTTCAGGCATAAGGACTGCCTGAACCTGAGGGCTCAAGAGCAGGCTGGGCAACACAGGGAGACCCAAACTCTAAAAACATCACTAAAAATAAAAAAATTAACAGAAAATTTTTTTAAAGATACAAGAGGAGATCACAAATGATTATTTAATTCTGAAAGATTACTTCCTACATCCAATATCTCAAAGAATTTTCTAAACAGCTAGAAATTCAATCCCACTCTTGCTATAATAATTGACCTTAAAAATAAAATAATAGGACCCATCAAAGATGCTGCACAGAAAAAAAATTTACATATCACCTTTGGTGCATCCACAGCTACTAGGCTCCCATTAATAGATGAGCATCATCCAGGATAAGGCTAGGTGAAGAGTGGGATAAAAATTAGGCTTGCAGCCTCTTTGCTGGCATTGCTTGAGGTACTGAGTGGACATGCAATAAAGAGGTGGTTAGTTGTGCAAGTGATGCCAAGAGTAACAAGATTCCACATGTCAGGAGACCGAATGCCCAACAAAGAGCAAAGGGCACTCACTCCACTGCTTTTTGCCCAAAGAAAGATTAGTTGCCTCACCTGAAATCCTTTCAAAGAAAGACTAAATCACATCCACTCCAACCCTCACCCTGAGTGAACTCAACAATCCCCACTCAGCATACAGGAGGAAGCTCTGCTTATCAAAAATAGCAAGTGCTACTTCCAAAGCCAAGAAATACTCCTTTTTGTGCAGTCTCCTGCCCCAATTCAGTCTTCCACAAGTCTAAAAGCCAAAAATACTTGGTTCCCAGCCTAAGTCAAATTCTCCATTTTCCAAAACGTGTATCAATCCAATTTTCTTTCAGATAAATTCCTCTCCATTACCACTGTTCTGGAGACCTTTCTGACAGTTCCCTGGTTGACCGCTCTGCCCAGTCCCTTCAAAAAGCGCCCACCCCCATGAGATAATCTCTTTTCCCTTACTTTTCCTAAGGTTTTTCCCTGTACCACGTCTAATACTCCTTGTTCTCCATTTGTAGACTTACTAATAAATCCCAATCCTCCCTGGTACAACTCTTAAGAAAGCCACATCCCTCCCCACAACTCACTTGTCTTTCTCCATATTTCCTTTTCCCTATATATCCTCAGATGAAGACAACATACACATAAAAGTTACCTGTTCTCAGCTCTTAACTCCCAAGTATCTCCCGCGCCCCAGGTTCTTCCACAGCACCTAATTCTCCCCCAGTTTCCTCCCAATCCTGCCATCCTCATCCCCAAACTCCAAACCCCAACCGTTTTTCCCATTCCCCAAATCCAGATTTCCTGTGCTTTTCACTCTTGCCCAATATCATAAGCTCTTTCTCGCTTCTAAGTTTATCCGCTAGCCTAGATCCCCAAGTCTTTTCCTCTCTTCCCACCTTCCTCGGACCCTAACCCTCCCAGCACCTCAGGAATTTGCACCCTTATCTCCTTTCCGCCTCGCCTGCCTCCATGGCCCCTAACTCTTTACCAGCCCTGCTCAGCCCCCAAGTTTCTCCCCATAATCCCAGAGTTCCCACACTCGGGGGAGGAGGATGCTCCTCAATTCCCGCCCCTCCCACCGGGTTTGGGTGTCCCGTCCCTTCCCTTCCCTTCGGGCCCCGAGGCCACTGCCAGCACTGGCGCGGCGGGGCCAGCTCACCAGTTGGTCATGTCCAGGAAGAAGGCGCAGCCAGCAGGGTTGAGCTGGAAGCCGAGCAGCCTCTGGAACTCGGAGATGAGCACGTCCTTGTCGGTGGTGCCCAGGCAGCTGAACTTCTGCATCAGCTCTGGGTCCAGGTCCACGTCCATGCCCTCCATGGCTGGGGCCGCACGCCCGCTTCCCCGCCTCC